TTTTGTTTTTCGAAGCTCTGTATCGCTTTTAATTGTTTTTTAAGTTAGTTTTCATTCTCTTTAATGGTTTGATAAATCTTGTATTCTTACACCTGGTAATCTGAGCAACTTCGTTGAAGATAACAATATGTAATATGTAATACAACAACCTTTGTTATTTCCTATCATTTTGTTTTGAAATCCTGTATTATTTTTCTTGTTTTTGCTTTGTTTTGTTTTTGTCTATGTTGTGGTTATTTTATTATTGTTTTTTATTCTTTTTATAATAAAAACAATTGAAAAATAGAATGCTTACAAACGCTGAATTTCTGTATCACTTTGTAAGTACAGAATATACAAATTGAAAATGAAAAATTTATTTTGTTTGCAGATTAATAAAGATGCTAACTAGATCTTTTAGTAGCTGACATCTGCACCACGTAGAATGAAATTCTTTCACAAAGCACAAGCCCATGTATCCATCTATCAATCTACCTACCAACCTATTCATTATGACAGTATTTATGTAGTTCAGTTGAGTAGAATACTAAATGAATAAATTGAATAAAATACAATACTTTTTAGAAAGTAGCTGTAATATAAAATGGGAAAAATGGGAAGAAGTAGTTATTTTATTTGTGAAAATCCTATTTTTCATGTTAATGAGAAATAGCTATTAATCACCCCCCTGAATGATACACTAAAGCAAAGTTGCAAAGTCACATGAAACTCAACACCCACCAGAGACCTCCTGTGATTCTTTTACAGGCTTCAGCAAGCTTTTGTGTAAACTTGAATGCACTAAGGGCATATATCTATTCAGACCATTTTGTGTAATGATATCTATAAGAAAAAAAAGTAATTCATAATTTTATTTTGAAATGTGTTGGCTTCTGTCAATAAGCCTTGGAATCTTTACCAAAAAAAAAAAAAAAAACTCTTAGTAAGCACTTATACAAAGTCACTTATGGATGGAAAGAAACCCTTCCCATTTGTTCAAGAAAAGAAAACTATCTTAAAGGTAACAAGATATTTTTCAGTTCATATCCAGGAAAATAACTGTTAAAACTCTCTTAGATAACAGGGAATGAATCAATAGTACAAACACTCTTTGTTGCAGAGATAATAATTCTTCACTTCTTTTTATGTATCTCTATACACCATTGAATATTTTTTCTTCAAATATGACCTTATCTTTTGATATTCCTAGTTACAAGTCTGAGCTATAGATGAGTAATTTTTCCTTTACTAAATAAAACAGGAGAAAACTGATTTTCATTTATGTAAGGAATATATCTTCTGCTCTGATCATACATTTTATATTTCACATTACAAAGTATATAGAGTACACATTTGTCCAAAGAGAAATAAGCAAGGAGATAATATATAAAGTGTAATTTTTCAGACTCAAAAAATCTGAACTAAAGCACCCTGAACTTGTTCTGGTTATCTCCTTGATCTTCAAGATTACAATCGTCTTACAATCAGAGCGAATTTTTGCAAAGAAGCTTAATTAATTTTTAATACAAATTTGTTGTTACTCCCAGCAATCAGAAAATGAGAGCATTGAAAGAATGAGTATAAAGAGGCCAGTGAAATTCATGAAGCTAAGTGGAAGTGAATTGAAATGTGATCATAGGAAGGCTGTAACACTCCCTTAACTACTATCACTGGGTCAAAGGGAAAAAACATCCCTATACTCAGTAAGGACAAAAACAGATTCCAAATCATCTATCCACTCTCACATATGCGCCAAGCTATCCCTCAAAAGAAGAAGGAGAAAGGTTGGTGTTTTCCCATTTCCTTGTCCCAAAAGTTATATGCTATCTACTTACTCTGAAAATGTGTTTCCCAAAAATTACCTGTCTGAGGAAAACTGAGAATAAACAGAACCAGTGAATAAGTAAATTACCTATGTTATTATAATTACTTTGAACAAAAATGAATATTTCTACCTTGGAAGCCATGTAGAAGGAAATAGATTGCATAAAGTAGAGAAGGATGGCTGAGATTCTGATGCCAGAACCAATGCTTTTCAGAAGGACTCCAGAGGTAGTGTGCAGGCTGGATAACAGAGAGGAAGATAAGGTGGAGCTATGAGGTTAATTTAAATTGGGGCAGAAGACAACGCTGCTGCACACCCCAAAGGCAATAAAATGATGAAGATTGTAGGAACCCAAAAGATACTTAAAGGAAAATCTGATTATTTGGAGACTTCCTGAATATAGAAAACAAAGAAGACAAGACAAAGAGGTTGTTAGTGCTTTGAACCTAGAGACCAAGAGAACGGTGACCCCAAGGTCACATATGGAGATATTCTTAACATTGTGACCAAGAACTGTTAATTTCTACTAAAACCAAAACCACTTGAATCCTGAGACAGTCCCTCATAGTCATAGTTTGCATTTCCTCCAACCCTTGCAGAATTTCTAAACATTTTGGTAACATTTGTGTACATGTGTGGAAAATGCTCACCAGTTTGCCACCAATGGTCTAGGACAGGTACTCTGAAGACTTTTTTGGACCATTCCAGGGTTTCTATATCACATCGTTCTCCAGCCACAAATAATGTTTTGAACCTGAATAGTACAAGAAAGGATGAACTCAAATTATTCTTTCAAAGCATATCAGAACAATTCCATCTACATTTTTTAAATGTTGAATAAACTGCATCAATTATGTAAGAGGAAAATAACACATTAGCATTATACCATACTGTAGAATGGGAGATACATTACTTCTTTTGGCCCAAAATGCAAATGCAAATGCAAATGCACATTACGACAATGAAGTGACAAGCTTCAAAAGCAGAATTCACAGCAACAGCTTCTCAGTTTTGAGAAGAGCAATTCAGTTCATCCTTGTAATGCATCTGTCATATTGCTCTAATGATCAAACATGAAAGATCCTTCCTCTTTGACATTAGCCCTGCTAATTTTAGCTCCAAGTTTGATTGCTATATTCTCCTGAAGAATATGAACAACAAAAAATACACTGCAAGTATCTTTAAGGCCACATATATGCTTATAAATCTGATGCACTTAATCCTCTCATGAGTCATTTTGGTGAAGTTTATCTAATCTCAAGAGTATAGTTCTTAATTCTGAAGACATACACAGGAAAACTAGCTTGTGAAAAGGCAAATGTTAATGTGAGCTTCCAGGTCAAAAAGTCCTATGAATACAGGTTGTTAAGGAATGAAAGAAAATGAGCATGTTTGCCAGAACCAAGTCAGAATGGAAAGAGTAAAATAGAAAAATAAAATCAGATCAGTCCTATTAGTGATCAACAAAAGAATGGCTGTTTTTCTTCCGTTTTCAATGTCCTTTTGGCCTATCTTCTAAAAGAAACTGTGTGTATGAAGAATTCAGTCATTATCATCAAAGCAAAGAACATTCTACAAACCTCTGCCTGCTCACCTTGAATACTGTGTGATCTGCCACTGAAGAGATTTTACTATTCTCTGAATATATGCTATTATTTTAGGAAGATTCATGGAGATAAAAATACTTCGATGTCTATACTCCAAATATATTCACCTCTTATCTGCTATTGGAACTGTAGCACATTAAGTAATTATTTATTTCTTATCCATTCCCCACATAAAACTATGACCTCCTTTGGAATATTCATCTTTATAAGACAATATCAATCAAAATATGAGGGTTTTCAGGAACTTACAATTTTCTAGACACTCATAAGGATAAAGTCAAGAAGGGGGAAGTTGACGAAACATATTCCCAGTTAGATTCATTCTTCTAAAAGAGGAAGTGTGTTCATTTTGAAGAGTGTGGAAACTGATGATGGAACAGTGATGTGAGGAGAAAAACTTCCTGGAATTGTTATTTTAGAAAACACTAAGTATAACGAAAAAGTGGAAGAGCTTAAGCGCAGACAGTTGGTTTTCACAGATTCAGTTTGTAGCCTGGAATACCTCACAGCAATTGCACATGTTGGGCGTGGTAAAGAACAGAAGAAATAGTAACTCAGTGCTGAAAAGACTGGCAGGGGAACCTGGATAATGTAGTGAGGCGGCACAATGGGACTGACTGGTACAGAAAGGAAAGGCCAAAGAAACAATGAGCAAAACACTAGACGGCATAGAAGAAGTAAAATGTTCAATGAAAATGAAGGCAGAATCATAAAAAAAAGGATGCATTTGCTGGGGAGAGGCATCTTGGAGAACTTGAAGACGTGTCTGTTCATGCTAATGGCTGAAAGACTAACAGGAACAGACTGGGGAATAGAACTGTGTTGATAACATTATCTTCAAGGCTGTAGTCATGACCTTGACTAAGGAATCCAGTGACTTTTGACTAATGTTCTTGAAAAGATGTCTGAAGAAGAGGAGACGATATTGGTAAAAAGTACTTTGACCTTCAACAAAAAAGATGGACTAATAACCCAACAGAATTAACAAATTATGTTACCAAAGTTACTCTGATGTCATCCCTAACTTTTATAGGTAATCTTGGCATTCAATAGGAAGCAAAAATGAAAGTTTCACCAGAAAATGGTCATTTCAAACTATTGAAAACATATTAATTAACTCCTAAATATAAATACATCACTGCAAAATGATGTCTATGATTGAAATGTTACTACCTGAAACTACTCATGGTGATTTTCATCTACAGAAAAGCCTATCTATATACAAGAATGTCATAAGACATTCGCTGAATTGTATAAGACACTGAACATTCTATTAGCATTCCACATGCTTTTAAATAGAAAGTATCACCACCTGCTAATATAAAGATATACGAAGACTGCTAAGGTCCAATTGAGATACAGTGTGCATCACAAGAGCAAGAAGTGTATATTGCTTGAAATTTTCAAGGAGGCACATTAAGAGAAATAAGGATGAAATCACAAATGAGTTTTAATCATAGGATTTAAAAAGCAAACATACCCTGCATATTACTCTTTCAATATGTAATAAACATAGAAATGACTAGTGAGATGTTTTCCTGTTTTTCATATTAAGTCTCAGCTTGAGCTGCTCTGTTTCAAAAGCTCAGTAGCCACATGTGGTTAGTATCATGAGAGTGTAAAGGAACACCACAACTTTCAAACAGAGCAACAGAATATTACACTGATCTGGATGAAGAAAAAAATAATTTAATACTCTGCACACCATTCTTCCTCAAGTCATTACATCAATAATTTCCTTTTAATTGGCTGTGTGTTCACATATATGTGTGGGTGAGCAACTGTCACCAAATGCAGTTAAGATGATTTATTATGCAATATTTCTCTAAGTACGCTTAATCATCACAGTAGCTTTGCAGAATTTAGGGTTCAATTTGATTTAATAATTAGGCACATTATAGGACTTCAGATGACACAAGGCACTGTCACAAGTAACGTTTGAGTGGCTACCCGTTGATGTATTTGCCAAACACAACTGCCATATTATTTAAGAGCCGTTTTTTTGAGTGGAAAATACCAAAGATAAAATTTAAATATTGTAGTAAAGGCAGAGTAGCATGACTTCAAATTTCAGATAAGAAAAGAACCTTTGTTAAGAAATCCTTTGAATAATTTTGATGTGTACCCTTTCTCAGAATGCAAGGCTTCTAGGTTAATGTTTAAATCTTTGAGAAGAGCATAGGAGATAAAGTGAGTATTATGGCTTTTATTTAGATATCCCCCCACAAAGCCTCATGGGATCATAGCTGGAGCTTTTCAGAGGTGGCTGCATCTAGAGTGTGTGATGCTGAGGTCAAGGGTGTGTGATTACTAAATTAGTCCACTGACTGTTTAGGCATAGTTCTGGGAGTGCATAATGGGAATGTCCTCACTACACATAGGTGATACTTGCCCTAAAAGTGGGTAGCTGGGATAGGAATATAAGGAACAGAAAGAAGGCTGCTGAACTTGCTGCTTCTTCATTACTTTCATGCTTTGCTGCCTTCTGCCTGCCATGAATTGTTTCTCCACCGTGAGGCCACTCTGCCTTGGAACCAGCCAACTATGAACTGAAACCTCTACAAACTGTGAGCTACATAAACCTTTCCTCCTTTAACTTTGCGTGTCAGGTATTTTTGTCTCAGCAATAAGAAAAGTACCTGAGAAAATGAAAATGGGAAAGAAGGAAGATTAATAAAGGTCAGAAACCAGAAAATGTAAGCCAGGTAATTTTTATACAAGTTACTTATATGTTTGCAATTTGAGATAAAAGTAATCAAATGCAAATATTTATAACAAGATTAAAATTTGGATTATCAATAAGATCTTGTCTGATAGAACTGATACAGCAGGATGAAACAAATTATTTTGACATTAAATTATTAAAAGTAGGCTAAAATATAACAAGTATTAGTGTAAACATTTAAAGTTTAAAACAATGTTGAGAAATCTATCTTTAAATTCCACATGAAAACAAGATAAAATTAAAAATATAAAGACTGTATTGTTGATAGTAGGACTTGCAGAGTGAATATACTTTAAATCATTTCTTCTTCATACAGGTTCCTGAGACTTGAAAAAACATGAGAGCATTCTGCATTTATATAATTTTCATTAAAATTTATCAAATGATAAATTTGACTAGTTCTAGTAGTATAGGCAAAAAAAAATTGAAAGAAAAAGTTTTCCCTCATCTTACTGCAAAGAAGACAAGATAGTCCAGATGGCTACTTGTTTGGTTTGTATGCAAGAATGAAAAATCCAAAATTGGAAAATATTTGCTATTGAAGACATGATGTAAAGTGTTTCAATTAAAAAATGTTAACATGGCACAAAATTAGTTGGGTAACTGAGGAATACCTGATACTGTGACATTATTGTTATTTTTTGAAAGTTTCAATAGTTAGTTTTTAGACTTTCCTTCCATCAAGTGAATTAAATTTAGTTATTTAAATATATAGTAAGCTGTACATTAACAGTCTTTCTCTGATGCCAAATTTCAGCATTATGTTTTTAAAACATCATTTATTACTGTGGTTTTACAATTCAGTACTATTGCTTTTTCCCTAGATTGTAATTACTTTACGTTCATTATGATATTAATCTTCATGTTGGCATTAATAGGCAAAATAGAGAAGTTCAATATCCCATCATTTATAGTACAAGTGATATTGGGCATCTCTCCAAATCAGAATCCCTTCTATTTTCAATTAAAATGGCTTTATTGTTTATTGAAATCAAAAGAAAAACTATGGGATCATTAGTGATTTAGAAATGCCAAAGTTGTACAGTTGATTCCTTTGCTTATATATGACAGAAATGGTATATATATATTCTTCCAATTGCAGAAAGCTTTTATTAGTTTTATCCATCATAACCTAACAAGTGCACAGCATTAGGAAACATAAACATATTTTAAACATAAGTAAGATTTTACAATAAGGGCCAGGGATATAGCTCAGCGGCATAATGCCCTCTTGGTAAGCACAAGGTCCTGAGTTTCATTCCTGGTAGAAAAAAAAAAAAAAAAGAAAAAGAAAAAGAAAAGATTTAAGAATAAGACATAACTGATGAAAACAATTTAAATTCTCTAGTAAATACTGAATCAAACATTCTTTGACTTCCAAATCCTCATAGTAAATAAACTGTGCTATGTGACTTGCTATTT